CCTTCAGGCGATTATGGCTGACATTTCATGCTTTTATCCCAAGGCTGCCACCCTTGACTTTCTTTTCAAGTGGTTAGATGATCTTCCGTGGCAAGGAACTCTCTTGTTCTTCCACCCCGATGAATTCCTCTTGTTTTCTTTTATACTCTTAATCTTGCTCCTGTTCTGCTACCCCCACCTCTCCCTGATTGCCTCCAACATACTATAAACCTAATCCACTCTTTCCTAGCCAACTCGAAGCCTTCCTTAGCCAGATATTGCCGGCTATGTATTTCTCCCTCCTCATCCCACTATATAGCCGTTCCCGTCCTACTGACTGACTGGACAAACTCTCCTGTTTCTCTACACCTCCAGACTTCTACACATCTACCTATGTAATATTTCCCCCATTACAACTCAACACCCCCGACCATGGACCACTAACCACACAAACAACTATTCCTATAGCTGCTCCCTGAAGCATTTTCCAACAATAACCCACTAGAATCCCCTTAGGAAATATCCCGCCCTCTTTGTGTTCCTTTACACTTCACCTCAAGAGCCCTGCTACCCATGTTAACCAAAAAATAGGACCATAGGAACTGTGCATTACAGAAAAGCCCTCCCTTATTACTAGCAGCATTAAAAAACGTCAATAGCAGGTTTTGCCTAGGGAGGCATTTACCCTGTCTCTCACTCTATCCTTGGCTGCCCTTCCCTGGCTCCTCAGGCTCTCCTCCGGACCCCTCTTCCTGTCTGCTCAGACCCAATCTTGTTAATGAAAGTTAATGGTTACTTACAGGTACCACATGCTTCCTCATACACCATGAAAACAAAAGCTCTCCCTCCATACCATTACCCTATCAAACCCCACTACAACCATTAACAGCCACAGCCCTTGCTGGTTCCCTTGGCATTTGGGTCCAAAGCCCCAGCCCTCTCAGAACACTTTCTCACCTTTTCAGTTTTCACTTCCAGTTCTGTCTAAACCAAGGTCTTTTTTTCCTCTGTGGTTCTTCTCATATCTGCCTTCCTATCAACTAGACAAGTACTTGTACCCTAGTTTTTCTTACTCACAAAATTCAGTCTGCCAATGAAGACAAAAGCCTCTCTGTTCCCATTGGGGTTCTTGATGACATGACACAAGCGGGTCATTCCATTGATGCCCTTAATTGTAGGGTTAGGAATTACTACTGCACTCAGCACAGGTACAGCAGGCCTTACTGCTTCAATTGTCACCTTCTCTAACGATTTCTCCGCTAGCATTGCAGAATTAACTCAATCACTATCCCTTCTTCAAGCTCAAGTGAATTCCCTAGCTGCAGCTGTCTCCAAAACTGCAGAGGTCTTGATTTACTGACTGTTGCAAAAGGAGGTCTTCGCCTACTCCTAAATGGAGAATGTTGTTTTCATGTAAACCAATCCAGCCTCGTGAATATGATGCCATCAATAAATTAAACGACAGAGCCCAAAAGCTTGCTAATCAGGCAAATGGTTATTCTGGACCTGGCTGGACTGGCTGGACATTCTCTAAGTGGGTGTCATGGTTTCTTCCAATCTTTACTCCTCTGATACGTATCTTCCTCCTTCTCTTATTTGGCTGTGCTTTTGGATCTCAATTCCTACAAAATTGTATACAAGCGATAACCAATCAATCAATATGACAAATGCTCCTTCTAACAACCCCACACTATCACCCCTTGCCCCGAGATCTCCCAGCAGTCTAAATTCTTTTCTATTTTTTAGGTTTCTGTACCACCCACAATCCCTCTCAAAGAAACCCTGAGAAACATCGCCCATGATCCCTCTGTGCTGGCCTTCCTAATAGTCCACTGCCCTCCACTCCTCATTCCTTTTTCCTTTATATAAGTAATATAAAAAGACAGGAATGAAAGGTTCTTTGGCTGCACCTCAGGTAATACCCTAAGTTGAGCCATGGCAACCCTTGTGACCTGCACGCACACTTCTGGATGGCCTCTGAATTAGAAAATCTGAAGTAGCTGGAAGACCATGAAAAGGGGAAGAATGATCAACCCCTGCAGCTCCTAATTAACTTGAGAGATTCTTCTGTTGTTGCTTATCCCCCGCCTCAGTTGATAAGGCCATTGGACTTTGTAACTGACCTTGGTCAACCTCATGACACCAGGCCCTACAACCCCCTCGCAGTTTGCAAAAACAGCTCTAACTGTAACTTCTGCAACTTTCCACTGCCTACCCCAAACCTATAAAACCAACTCCTATCCCACTGCCCTGTGCTGACTCTTTTTGGACTCAGTCTGCCCACACCTGAGTGAATAAACAGCATTGTTGCTCACACAAAGCCTCTTTGGGGGGTCTCTTCATTCAGAGTGCATGTTTAACAAGACCTAGAGGGAAACGCTGAGTTTTTAAAAGCCTTCTTTCTATCAGATACGACTTAGTCTGTCCTCAGCAAGCAGAATCCTATGGAAAAGAGCATATATAACCCTGAAGACTCTATATTCCATGCCCTTGTGATTCAGCAGAGGACTACTGACTGAAATATCAATTGAAGGCCATATGCAGAAAAACTATCATTACTTGAGTTTTTCAGAAAAGGATTGGTAAAAATTATTTTTATCCACTTTAAGAAGGAAAGAATAGAGATCTTAAATCAACATGGGAAGTCACATTATTCATTTATAACGAACGTCTGCTGCTTACCTAGAAAGAGGAGAGTGAGAAATGGGTTCCACCCTGTAATATTTTTTGCTTTCAGCATGAATACAGAGACAGAAAGAACAAAGTCATAGATTTAAAAAATAAGGTTCTGCTATTCAATGCCAGCCCTCCCAGGTTTAACCTTAATCTCCTTTATTTCATGAGGTCCCAGGTTCGCAATTGCTGAGGATGTTAGTTTCTAGAAAAAAATAGCGCCGTCAGAGGAAAGGCACAAAGGAAGAATATCGGAATTTAGGAAACTTCTCCAATTAATGCTCTGCCCCTCCATGAGAATTAAATAACAATAGAGTTGGGCAGTGGGTCTTTCCTACTAAATGTTTATGTGAGATATATTGGAAAGGATACTGGCTAAGTGTGGAAAGAAAAGTTCCAGGTCAACCCTTTGAACAAAGTGTTAATTTCCCTAAGTTTTAGACTCCTCCTTTGAGAGAGCACCCTGCCTGCCAATCTCATTAAGTTGTGGTGATCACAGAGGATAATGCATATGAAAGCCCTTTTTAAATGACACAACACCATACCTCTGTGAGCCTAACTATTATTGTCATTGACTCTTGGACCTTAAATTCCTGGAGTCCTCAGGGCCTACACTTACATCTATTCACAGTGAAACATCTGACAAACCTCCTATGGAGTGTCTTTGCTCCTACCTTCACCTGATGCAATATGAGCTACTTTCTCTATTTAAAATAGCTTATTTGCAAAAGGCTAAGGTAGCACAAAACCACCTTTTGCTTTGCAAAAGATGGTTAATCTCTTCTATTATCCCAGATATCTCTCTTTCTAGCCTGTCCCATGGAATTAGAGGGTCCCAGTGCAGTCTGGGGTTGACGTGAGGAGAACCCAGAGGGAAGGGAATGTGCACACCAGCTGTGGGGTTAGGGATCACAGGAATTTCATGAAGTCCAGGGTGTTAGGGTGTGTAAAACTTGCCAGGCCTACCAGGCTCGCCTGTCCCCATTCTCCTTCTCCATCCACTTTTGTGCCTCCTGACTCTTACAGGTGCAAGCTTTTTACTTTCTATTCCCTTTCTTTTCTTGTTTGTTTTGGTGTAGTTTTCTGGAGCAGATACAAGATTTGTGCTCTGTAGGGTGTAACAGACCAACTACAGAAGCAGATCTTCTGTTCTTCTATGAGGAGGCAAGAAAAGATGCTGTGATTTCTCATCACCTTTGGGATCAGTTAACATCATTCGCTCTGCCTTCCTTCCTCTGGCCACTACCCTCCCGCTGGGCCTTCCCATTTTCTCATTTCCCTTTGTTTTACCATCACCACTGGGTGTCTTTCTTCCACCAGAGTCTGGTACAAAACTAAATCCTCTAGTGTTCATGTAGCATCTTTTACCACATCACTGCCTTTTCTTTTCCACCCCAGAGCACACTCCAATACTGGACCCTATTCCCCAGTCACAGCCTACTTTTTTGGGGGGTCTTACCTCCTCACCTGACCCCACACTCTTAGGATTACAACCTCTTTCATCAAAATTGACACTTCCCACCTACCCGTCACCTCCAATAGTTTCTATAGTTTCACAGGACTGTCTCCTCACAACCATACTTTCATGTGAGGGACTCAGCAAGGTTCAAGCCAGAAAAAGACCTGGACAAGGAACTCCTGCAGGACGTTGAGAGGAGCCTAATGAAGGGTCTTAGGGCTGACTTTGAGAAGGAGATAATAAGTATATTCCGTGAGACACTCACAAAATGACTTCTCAAGGTTCCCAAGGAAGAACTTAAACAAGAGGTTGCTGAAAACACCCAACCCAAAACACTTACTTGGGGGAGAACATGGGGCAGACCAATTAGGCTAAGGTCCCTGTGGTCATGCACCCTTTGAGTGCTGATGCCAGCTCTAAATCATGCCATCTGGGAAGGCTCACATTCATCCAGCCACCATAAATACCCTCATTCAATCAAGAATATCATGGGAATGCTTCTCTGGAGCTTTCTTATCTTAATTTGTGTCCTCAACAGTTTCTAGAAGCTCACAGAGTGTACTATTGAATACACAAGAGGTGGTGTCCATTGTGTGAAGTCCTTGGATTTAAAACACTGTTTAAGGTGAGCCAGGCCTCTTCCCCATCCCACTTTTCCTGACTCAGTTATTCATATTTCAAGAGCTGACACAATAACGGAGGCTGTGACGCTTCTTTAGGTAAATCCTCAAGCGGTCTAGGGAAGAGAGTTTGTATCAGTCAGGGTTTTACAGAGAAAGAGGGTTTTACAGACATAGATACGGAGACGTAGGCAGATAGATAGATACACAGATAGATGCATAGATACACAGACAAATGAAAAGACTTATAATAAGAAATTGATTCTTACCACTATGGAGTCTATCCAGTACCAATATCTGCTGTCAGAAAGCTGGAGGCCAGAAGAGCTGATGATGTAAATTTCAGTCCAAGTTTGAAGGTCTGAGAACCATGAGAGATGATGATATAGTTACAGTCTGAAAACCAGTGTCTCAAGACCCAGGAAGATCTGATGTTTTGGTCGAAGTCTGAAAGCAGAAGGAAAACAATGCCCAGCTTGAAGGTGGTCAGACAGGAACAATTCCCCCTTACTTGAAAGAGGGTCAGCCTTTTTGTTGTATTCAGAACTTTAACTGATTGGATAAGGCCTTCTCACATTGGGAGGTCAATCTGATTTACCCAGCCTATCAATTTAAACGTTAAACTAAAAGAAAGAAAAAACCCTCAAAGAAACTCCCAGAGTATTGTTTAACCAAGTATCTGGACACTCTGTGGTCCAGTCAAGTTGACACATAAAATTAATCATCACAGAGATGATCAAAAGGGTTTGCTTGGAATCTAGGCTATGGAGGTCTCTCCCTGAACCCTCATCTGTGAGTGAGGAAGGCTAAATGGCCACAAGATGGTCTCTATATTAGTGTCTCAGACCTGCCACAACAAATTATTGCAGAGTCAGTGACTTAAACAACAGAAACTTATTCTCACACAGTTTTGAAGGCCAGAAATAACAGTGTCAGCAGGTTTGGTCCCTTCAGAGGTTTCTGAGGGAGAATCCCCTTCATATCTCTCCCCCTGCTTCTGGTGAATGCTGGCAATCCTTGCTGTTGCTTGGCTTGGAGATGCACCACTCTCATCTCTGCCTCCCTCTTCGCATTGCCTTCCTCCATGTATCTCCATGTCACTGCTGCTTATTGTCATTGGATTTAGGGTGGGCACCCTACATTTAGGGGCTTACCCTAATTCCAGAATGATTTCATGTTGAGATCCTGAACTACACATAACAAGACACTTTTTCTAAACAAGGTCACCTTCATAGGGTCTGGTGGTTAGAACCTGGACATATTTGAGTGAGGGGCACCATTTAGCTCACTACAGTCTCTCTTGAATTGCACTTATAAGCTTGCATTGGCCCCTCAAATGGGAATAATAACAACTAGAACAAGAATCTGTCACCAGCTCAAACGGGAGAGGACCTGGAAGACCTTTAGCAGGAGAGGATCTGAGGGGAGATACGGAATTGGGGACTTCTCAGATCAGAGAGAAGTCTCTTGCCCAGGAAAGGGGACTAGCTGAGATTACTTGGAACAAGATGCCCCAGTTCCTTCCACAGTCTCAACTGAATGGTAAATTAAAAATAGAATGAGGCTTTTCAGTGGCTTTATCCACTGAAAATGGGGAAAGGACAGGAAGATTCATGTTGCAAAGCCAAAAGAGTGATGTTTTCTGTGCAGGGTCCAGGCCCACTAGAAATCAGAGCTGTCTCTCTGGGGAATGAGGATAGTGCAGCTCTGAAGAACCACACAATCATTAAATGTATCTTAAAGACGATGTAGAGAGTTACTGCAAGGGACCCAAAGAAATACCCAAGGAAGTATGAAGGAGTACCAATTTGCTTGGAAGTCCAAGATTCCCAATATACAAATATGCATGTGATTACAGGGATTCTGCTTTCCCTAAACCAAAAGAAAGGGATGATGCCACCCCACCCTGTCCAAGCAGGCTTTCAGTATCTGAATGTGCAAGTTATGGACAGGGTCAGAAATGCCAGGAAAATTCTAAGGCTCCAGGATTAGTAACTGTGTTTGAGGCAACCATCTTCAATGCTCTCCAGGGAGCATATGTCCCCAGCTAGACCCACAAGCTCAGGGCAAAAATGCCAAGTCCACAAAGCCATCTTCCAACATTGCCACACCCCAGGCTCTGTCCCTGAGCTGTGTTTCCTCTGGCCAGCTAAATATCCTCCTCCTTACTCTACTCACAGTAAAATGCATGTGAAATTAATGTGATAATTCAATTAGGAAAAAATAATTGGTTCTCATTTTATCACTTCCCCTGAAGAGGAAATTTTCTGTTTCTCATAACCAGGGATTTATATTTATCCCAAATACATTCATTTCTTCTAAAAGGAGAGTGAGAACATTTGTCTCTGCCATGTTTGGGGAGAATTTTTAGAGTATTCAGGGGTTTGGCTCAGACAGAGGAAGAGGTTGGCTGCAGCTCTTCTTGATAGCCAGTTCATCCTCACCAAGGTGATGCGGTTAGGAATGAAGGTGGATGGTGGCAGTTCACACCCACGCGTGTCAGGTGCTTTGTCTGTATCTCTGAAGATCTCCAATTTTAAAGAGTTTTTATACAACTAAAACAAATGCAAAACAAACAAAACAACATGCGCTACAAACATTCAGGGACTTTTAAAACATTAGAAATTTCAAGAAAAAACAATTTTTGGTACATGCACCACTCAGTGCTTCCCCCTGCCGGCTCATGATCTTGAACTTTATACAACCACAGGGTGAAGTGAGTGGGAGAATTTTCCCAGCTCCTCTGAGTCAATGCCATTGATGTGCAAGGGAAACAGCTCCTGAAGAAAAAGAGCCACGAGGTAGTGATTGGCCAAAAAGTAGGCACTGGTGTCCCGGGGAATCTTCATTTAAAAGAGTAAAGAAAAGAACCAGTAGAACCACCTGATATATTCTTCACACACAGAAGTAAGGGGCAATGTAGCTCATCCTACCTCCATTCCAGTCTCCACCCTTTATCAGCTCCCAGATTCAGAGACTAGAGAGGCCACATGTTATCTCCTGCGGAGGTTCAGACTTACACAGCTGGCAAAGCCTGGGAGGATTCATGTCTGCTCTTTGTTACATATGTAATAATACATATTTTTCTTATTTTATTTTACCAGCTTGAAGTTCAGAGAAGCTGAGTAACCTATTAGATGGAAAATCCAGGTCTAGACCTAAGAGGAGGTGGGTCCCAAGCCAGTTGCTTTTGTTCCCAAGAACAAGGACTACTCAACAAGAGAATGCTAGTGGCTTAGAAGTGCTAAAAGACTGAATGAGGGTCACCTAACAAGCTATCCCTCACTCCCAGATTTGTGTTTATCTCCAAAGACACACACAAAGTGAGGCAGTCCAACAGTGCGTGCACATGATGGGGTGGCTGCCAAAAGATCTGCCCAAAATGTCTGCAAACTATAGGAAGGATTTCTTACTTTAGCTTGGCTTCTAGCCCTGGTTCCCCTTCCCCTTCCCTAGCTCTTTCACACATGGGAAATAGAGAAGGCCCTCAAAAGCAGGAACACCTATTAGCTCAACGATGATGAGGACCTATTCTAAGAGCAAATTTTCTAGTGCTTTTTTGCCACACTCAAGGCCCAAGTGTGGGGGGAGAAGGATCAACTCCAGGGGGCATTATTCACATTGTCTAGAGTTGTGTTTGAGGAGCAGCCATAGATAACAGAACGCAACAGGGATGTGACTCCCTGGTAATCCTTGGTGATTATCCATCACCAAGCCCTACACCCCATGCTAAATGTCGGGGTAAACAAAGTGCATGGCAGAGCTGACACCTTGGTATGGAGTGGGCATCATGTCACCAGAGGGCAGCTGTTGGTACCAAAAATTTCAAGAGCCAGCTCCCATCTAAAGGGCTTGGATTCCTAGAGTCTGCTGCATGGAGGGAATCAGCATGGAGAATTGAATCCAAATCTTCAAGTTCAGTGCAGGGCCCTGGCTAGTTGAAGGACTCTGCCTTTTGAGACCTCTCATCTGGAAATTTCATTAGCTCTGCAAGTTGCAGCCTAAGTTACCCTTTTAACTGGTTGGGGTCTCAAGGACAGGTTTGGGTTCATTTAGAGAGGCCAGTGGCAATTAAGAGACATGGAATTTGCTCCCTGTCACCTCTTCTGAGTCTCAGGATCTGTTCCTTCCTTCTACTGAGAGCCCTGGCAAAGGGGTCAGTGATTATCATCTCAGTTTTAGAGGTCTGGGCCACGCTTCTGTGTGGGAGGGAGTTTAGCCTAACGATGACATAAGGGTAATTTCTGAGACAATTCCTGACCTATCTGTTCACTCTGTGTTATGTAATTTACCTTCAGGACACAATATCCAAGTTATTAATTTCTATACTATTCCCTGCCAGAAGAGATACCCAGAGGATGGAAAGGTCATTTTGCCTACCTCTCCTCCAGGAAATTCTAGGCTTGTGATCACAGAGTTTGTTATAGGTGTTATATTTGCATGGCCCAAGACAAAAGTTGTTAATTATCTTTAATACATCTTTATCTGGATTTTTATGTGAGAGGGGAATGTAGCTGTGTGTTCCTGAGAGGGAAGAGATGGAGTGTGGGGTGGAAGAGGTGTTACTGTGTTGAAAGAGGGGCAGTCACCCAAGCATAGCAGTCTCTGTGGTCTTGAGAAAAGATATGTGGTGATGTGTACACTAATGTCAGAGCCCGGGGTAGAAGTACCCTGGGGAGTAACAGGACTTTTGATGCGTGGGCAAATGTGTGTGCTGAGGAAGCGAAAATTTGGGCACCACAGACTTGAGCTCTGCAGCAAAAGGATGGCAGTGACCTACCCGGCAGAGAGGCAGTGGACCCACCAGCCTTTGAATGCATCATGTTGCTTCATACAGTGAGCATCTCATATGCAACCTGGATGGACGAAAGGCCAGAGGATATTTCTAAGTATTTTATAGTGTTTACATTGACAAACAGAGAAAAGAGCCCCAATTAATGGTTCATATTTAGTAACTGGGCATCACATTAAATGGGAACTTAGAGGCAGATTCCATTGAATTTTAACTTAAAAATTAAATAATATGGTATATCTTACACCTCAGTGTTGTAGGCAAATTTATAATTTTATATTATCATCCCATTTAAACACTACAACTCTTTGAAATGAATGTTTTCCCCTTTTCAGAAGGAGAAACTGAGGCACAAAGAGGCTCATATATATTTAGTGGGCTAGCATAGAAAGAGCCATGAATGCAAAACCCCTTGTAATGTGGAGAAGGATTTGGAGGAAAGTGACAGGAGATACAATTTAAAAATATCATTTCAGTTCCAGCCAACTATAACCTATATCATCAGGAGGGGCTCTGAACTTTAAATTCTAGAGTCTTATCCTTTGATCTCAACCTCTACTCCTTTCAATACATGCCCTCCAAATGCCAGTTCTCTAGAACCTCTGATCCTGTCCGTGAGCTCATCTGCATTCCTCCACTGCCATGTTAGACCTCACAGTCCAGCACCTAAAGAATATCTAGTACACCCTTGTACCATTCTATTTTCATCTCTCCTGTCTGACAAAATCCCAAC